CTTGTGTTTGGTGACAACTGACCACCTCAATTTCGACCTTAGGGCAAAAATGGCATCGGAATCGTATTCTTCGATCAATTTGGGATTAAATGATACCTATTTTGTTCATATTGCGGACAGTCAGTTTGGGGGAATTTCTAGCGCTTTTTCGGGCTGCCGGCCTACAGTGCAGCGGCGCCGACCGCAGAAGGTAGGTTAGCCGGGGGGCTGCCGTGTAGTGTGCCAAAAGGAATAGACCGGAGTGAGCGTCAAGGTTGCTGATCCGGGCACACATCCGGTCTATGACGGCCGCAGCCCTGGTGGTGGCGACGGGCAGCGCAGCGTCGGTCAAGGGAGATCCTAGGAGGGAGAGATCGCTTGCTAGAGTCTCCTTCAGTCCTGGGAGGGTACCTCGTAGCGACTCCAAAAGTGATGGTGGCGGCGTTGGACCGGCAAATGCGACCTCGCACTTGTTGGCGTTCAGCTGCAGACCAATTGTAGGCAGGGCTGTCGCCAGGACTGCTAAGTCGGCGGCGACTAGGTCAGCCGGACCTCCGATGGTCCCATCGTCGAGGTACCACACATTTAGTGGTGACTGCATTCTTCTGATGATCGGGTCTAGAGCCAGCGCGAAAGCCGCCGGGCCGAGTGGGTCACCCTGCTGCACACCGCTGCACGAGGAAATGGTCTGATCACCGATGCAGAGAGGTGTGGGCTCGCTGTATGCGCACCACAGGAGAGGATACGCCATGGGCACACGCGTCTTCACTTGCTCCAAAAAGGTGTCGCGTCTCACGGTGTTGAAGGCGTTTCGGACGTCCACCTTGACCAGCAAGTATGGGGCGTGGGCTTCTGCAGCTGCCGCCAGAAACTCTCGCGTGGCGTGTACGGCGGCCTCGCAGCCCTGCGGTGTGCCGACTCCCAGCTGCACGGGACGTAGCTCCTCTCCCACTGCAGCAGCGACTTGACGTGCGGCGATGCGGCCGGCAAGGCGGCGGTAGATGCTTCCCACCGCGATCGGCCGCAGACCGCCATCACTCTTCCGAATCGCGCATAGAGACGCGCCGAACAGCGCTCGCCGTGCACAATCCGGTACTGCCCCTTGTAGGAGTAGGTTGGTGAGACGGACAAGACAGCGAATGAGACGGCGTCCGCTCTCAGCGGCCTCCTTCGAGATCAACTGCTGCAAATGTAGGGCACGAATGCCGTCTAGACCGGCTGTTGATCCTGGCCGCATGCTGGTGATGGCCGCCTCAACGTCGGCTTCGGAGACGATGATCGGGGCAGGGTCAGTGTTTGAAGGTGGTGGTGGTAGTAGTTGGTCGTCGGGGGCCGGTGGGTGTTTCGCACGCAGTGAGGTCACCATTTCGTCATCAGCTGTCGCCAACTTTTCGTCAGTGGTCAGTGTTTGTAGCGCTGCCCTGATGTCGCTATCTGCCAGCTTGCCTGCAATTCGGCGGGCCAGCGCGTCATCTCTGGTGGCTTCAGTTGCAGAGCCAGCTCGCGGCATCCGTCCCCGGTGGTTGGTAGTGTCGGTTGCTTTGTCCGTCGCAGTCGCCGGCGTCTCGCCGGAGATCTGACGCCGGATACTGGACGCCGCTGTGCATTTACTGCCGGGGGCCGGGGCTTGCAGCTTGCAGTGTGCAAAGGTCAACAGTTCCCACCACCGGTCAGCCGAGTCGGACTGTAGGGCTCCGTCCATCGCCTCAGCCAGGGCATCCGCAACCAGTGGTCGAATAGCCTTGGGCAACCGGGACACAATGCGCCCCTTTCTTCTCATCTTGGCTCGTCATCTGCGGTGATATAAACTGTGACCTGCTGAAGAAAGAACCCAACTTTCGTGCACGACAGCATCTCAGCAGCTTCCTATCGGACTACTCCCTAGACCAGCTAGTAACAACTCCGACTTTCACTTCCGGTTCGCTCCTAGACGTGTGTATGGTGAACAAAGTGGACCTCTTCTCTAACACCCGTGTTGAGTTTTGTCATTTTAGTCCGCATAAATTTATTAGCGTAGATGTCAATGTCCCCAAACTGCGTCCGAAGCCCTCAATCATCTCAGCTCGTTCGCTCAACCGTGTTGATGTCACTGCCCTTAATTCTGATCTGGAGCTTGTCGACTGGGAGCCTGTGTTTACCGCCGCGACTGTTAGTGATCAGTGGGATGCATTCGTGTCCAATTTTTTGCCTATTATCGACGACCACGCCCCACTCAAGCGCATTACCATTCGGAACCCCACAGCGCCCCCGGCCTCTGCTGCCACACGGAACCTTATGTCCCAGCGCCGCGCCTCGCTACGACGGTCCGGTCGTCAGTCGACAGCTTACAAGGAGCTGAATCGCTCTGTTCGGGCCGCGCTGCGTCGCGACCGGCGAGAGGAGCTTCAGAGAAATATCTGCGAGCGGGGTCCCAATAAGGTCTGGCAGTCTATCAGGACAGTTGTAGCAGGGAAAAAGGACGGTCCTAGTGTGCAGCCTAATTTACCCGCCGATGAACTAAATTCATTTTTCGTCTCTGTCGGACCTCGCATCGCTGCGGAGGTCCGGTCTCTTAACACCACTACCGATCTGAACGTTCGCCTCCCCCGGGTCGGTGCTTGTCGTTTCCAGCTCCGCGCGGTCACTCTCGGCGAACTCGGTCACACTATCTTCGGCATGCGCAACTCAGGCGCCAGTGGGACTGATGGCATTTGCATCCGAATGTTAAAGGGACCCTCCCACCTTAACATTAGTTTTGAGTTGAGATAGCCAAATTGGTGGCCATGGCCTGCAAATACCGGTTTGGGCACTCACAACATCGAGAAATGCTTTAATTCGAAGATATGGAATTTCAAACTTGCAGTTTTCGGATTCTAAGGGGCTAATGCATTGGTATGCCCCCTTAGAATTTGTGACGTCAGCGGAGATCTAACGATTTTTAAATCTTAGACTAAAACCATCGTTAACAAGTGGTGGTATACGCTGCTTTGCGCGCAACGTCTGCCGCACTTTAAGGCTGCCAAATTATTGCTTCCAAATAAAGTCGCTAGTAACAGGGAGATCCCAAAAAGTAAACAAAAGTAAAAGCCTAATATCTTGAAAACCAGTGAATATTTTTCGGTGAAATTTGGTAGATATTCGTTTTCGCTCTTTCTGAACCAAGGGACATCACTTTCATGCCAATTCATTAACTTTTTTGAAGGTGGGAGGGTCCCTTTAAAGTCCGGCTTCTCAGCTATCGGTCGCGTCATACTTTACATTATCAATACGTGTATTACCAACTCCGATATCCCCGATTCCTGGAAACATTCCACAGTCCACCCAATCTTCAAATCTGGCAGCCCCTCAGATCCCACCAACTTTCGACCAATCTCATTAGTCCCCGTGATTATGAAGGTTGTGGAACGCCTTGTACATCAACAGCTTTACCACTACCTCTCAAATAACTATCTCCTTGCCTCCTCGCAGCATGGTTTTCGCCCCCGACACTCCACAGAGACCGCCCTGCTGTCCGTCACAGACCAAATCCTCGCAGCCTCTGATAGGGGAGAACTTTCACTGCTATGTCTCCTTGATTTGAGCAAATGCTTTGATGTCATCGACCACGACCTTCTACTTCAAAAACTGGCTATGCACGGGATCGAGACCACTTGGTTTTCTGCTTTTCTCACGGGACACACCCAGAGCGTGTCCCTATCTAACGGCGCCGGAGGTAGAGTACTGTCGCGGCCGCTTCCAAATAATATGGGCGTCTTCCAAGGATCTGCCCTGGGACCGTTACTCTTCACCATATTTTCGAACAACCTCTCGCTATACGCAGGTGACGCCACCGTTTTCCAATATGCGGACGACACCCAGGTTCTAGTGAGCGGCCGTGCCGACGACCTCAGATCGCTTATCTCTCGCATGGAAGCTTCACTCGCATCAATCAGTGACTGGTTCTGTCTTCACGCCCTCAAGCTAAACGCAAACAAAACTCAACTAATGGTTTTTGGCAGCAGACAAAATTTACGGAAAGTACCCGACTTCAGCGTCTCTCTTCGTGACTCTGTGTTGCAGCCATGCGAGCAGGTGGGAAATCTGGGTGTTGTCTTTGACAGCGCCCTGTCCTGGGAAGCACATGTGTCCGAGCTTAGTCGTCGGTGTACTGGCTTGTTGGTCGGACTGTCTCACGCACGAAATTGTCTCCCTGACGGTGTCATTAAAGTTCTCGTGACATCTCTGGTCATATCACGGATCAACTACTGCCTCACTGTGTACGGTAACGGGACTCAGAAAAATTTTGACCGACTCCAGAAAATTTTGAACTTTGCCGCTAGAGTGATCTTCGGACGGCGTAAGTTTGACCACGTCTCGGACCTGCGTGACAGACTTGGCTGGCTATCACCAAAATCCATGTCAGATTACCTGACACTCACGATCGCGCAAAAGGTCATTAAGCATGAAGAGCCCGAGAACCTCGCTGCACTGTTCGTCCCCAACCAAAATTTTCGAGACAGGCACACACGGCAGGATCATCTCCTTCATCTTCCCCGACCGAGGCTTGAAACTGGAAAACGGCGTTTTGAGTATCGTGCCGCGGCGCTATTGAATAGCCTCCCACCCCAGGTAGTGCAGCTGCCACCTGCCAGCTTCGCCCGGTCTGCCAGGGCCGCGCTAATTAACAAATCCCCCCTACGCCGCTGACGAGTCTGTTTAGTAGTAGGCAGGGCATGCCGCCAATTGGTGGACGATCTGTTTGTGCTTATGTATATATATTGTTTGTCTTGTGTACATATGTATATGATTATTGTCGCGACCCCCATCGATGGATGACTGTCGTCTAGTGCTGAGTGTTCTTCCCCCTGCCCGCATGATTGTTACCCATTATACTCGGATCTAAGCCGTAATCGCCACGCCATATGTGGAAGGCTTTTGGTGTCAATACATACATACATACATACATACATACTTGGCAAGGGCCTCTGGGAAATTGCCTGCTGCTGGACTGGCTGGCGAGGAGCTCGGTTGTGTGTGGAATCCGTGACCTAAACAGTCCCGACAGTGCCAAACGCCCCCCTCGGCTTGAAGCTCACGTGCTTTCTTGGCCGGACATTTCTTGGCCCCATATCTATAGGCAGGGTATATTGAGTGCAGTTAAATAATTTTTCATCGTGAAAAAAATTATTTGCAGCAGAATAACAAAGCTTTGTAGACATTTCTAAAGTGGCTGCTACAAGATTGACGCTCTGGATCCCGTGTTGTTGTGTTGTGAAGAGGCACTCTGACTTCTGCTCTGACTCATAAGTCATATATTGAGTGAAACTCTGATTGACTCAGGGTATATTGAGTGACTCTGACTATTATACGGAGTGGTAGGTTCAGGGGTGTTTGTGGGCTTATGATTTTCAATTTATTTTTGGTTTAGTAGTCAAACCATAGCTATGTTTTCTGATCATTTTCACAGTTTCAGAGCCCTGGTTCATGTTCTCAGTTCTCACTGCTTAGTGCTTAGTCTGGTGAAGGCGGTCTAATTTTATTCAGACTAACATTACTCCAGCTCGACCTTTTTTGTTATTTCCTTTGAATCCAAAGCAGACTCACTCCTCCCAAGGCTTTTTCCTAACCTCATTTAAATTCTTATCTGCCTGCTCTCTCACCCTTCTAAGTACCACTTAGCACCATCCCTGACACTGGACAAGTCAACTGCATATCTGAGGGTTGGAACCAGACAGACTGAGACTGCAAAGTTGGATGCTTGAGTTGAGACTTGAGCCAGAGCCTGACGATTGTGTGTCCCAACCTGCAAACAAGGGTACTCTCTTAGCAGATGTCGCCTTTGCTGCCATATCTACGTCTTGTGTGCGCCGCCGTTGTCTTTTTACAGTTCCATATATAACCAAACATAATCTAACCTGACCTAACCCTACCTACAACCTATCATCCTACAACCTAGGTACCAACCTACAACCTACCACCTAACCTAACTAGATATCAGTAGGCGGAACTATGGTCATGAGTACCCAAATATAGGAACGTTCCCATTTTTGGGAACGTTCCCATTTTTGGGAACGGAGTTCCCAAATATGGGAACGAGCGTTCCCATTTATGACTACGGGAGGCAATTTTTCGGCCGTTCGCGCACTAAAACTCATTAGTGCATCACGTCTCGAAAAAGTGCATGCTAATTAACGTCTCTACTAAATCTCCATAAAGTTATCTTTAATCTGACCGTGGAATAAGGAAATTGACCGTGGAATGATATTTTTAATGATTTTTTAATAATGACAGAATGGTGGAAATATGGGTTATACGACATTTAGCATGCAATTTTAAGGAAAATGAAGCATTTTTTAGTTTGAGGTCAACTATAATAATTTTCGCCTGGTTATGAACTTTCATACTATCGACACCAGATCCTGACAAATGCAAGCGAAGACGCGTACGGTCCCGAGGTAATATTGTTGACTTTTGGTGTCGGGGCGGACGACCGCGTGGAACGCGAGTGAATTTACCGAACTACTGTTATAAACTCAGTTTAAGTGGTTTAAAATTATTCAGCTGTATTTTATCAACCCTGAAAGACATATTTTATTTGGATGCTAGCTGTTTAGCGTTGCTTTTAAGGAGCGTCATGAGCGTGGTTTTTGCCTTCGGTATTTTGGGGGTACGATCGTTTTGGGGGAATTTCTTTTATGCAGGTCGCCCTATGTGCCTTATTTATAATTTTCATGCTAATTTTGATCATTTCTCGTGCCCATCCTACCAGGCCTTTTGCCACTTACACTCATTAAGAAAGGAAAAAAGTAGATTTATATTGGGACTAGGTGTTTTGAGAGTGAAACATTTCAGCGTTCCCATTTTTGGATACTTACTTGTGCTCGTCAACTATCGGTGATAAACAGACAGGTGCTTGACATGTCTCCACCCTCGGCGCGGACGGTGGATATAGGCATGGAAGACCTTGTTGAACATCGCTGAGCGTTGTGAATTACGTAATCCTGCAGAGGGGGGCGTGCCCGCTGCGAGATCGACGGGAATAAAAGCGCAGAAGACCGGGCGAAACATGCGACGGTCTTGCCGGAAAGGTCATCTGATGATTGTTGCGTTAACAATAATTTGCGGCGTTGGACGTGATGCTTGTTAATGAAAAGAGCCCCTGAAAGGCGTCGGTGAAATCGTTCCCAATTTTGGGTACGCCGTTCCCATAATAAGGAACGCTTGCAGCGCCAGTGTACGAGAGCGTTCCCAAATTTGGGCTCGCGGCCCGGATGATGGACTGCTTTAGAAATAGGCGAACGATTTGAAACTACGATGGGCCTTACAATATCAAACTCTTTCCCAACAATATTGAGACAAATATCAGGCGGTTCACGATCGTTTTATATTTTTTGGACGTCATTTAACGGTTCTTTTTCTTGTTTTAAATAATGCCTACATGGCGTTCCCATATTTGGGTTTATCGTTCCCAAATATGGGAACGAAAATGCGTTCCCGAAAATGGGTACGCTTGACCATAGTTCCGCCTACTGATATGACAGCAAGGGTGACATCTGCTAAGAGAATACCCAAAGAAGAAGGCAATGCCTCTCACTCTGATGGGCCTTGCCCCTATGGTACTCAATTTGGTACTCAATGTGGAAACGGGAAATGGGATAGGCTGAGGCACAAATATGAGAGGCTATGCTTGCAATATCTAGAAATTATATGAACATGCACCCCTAGAAGGTAAAGTAACATTGCACTTTCCATTAATCATCATTCCCTACATCTCTGGAAATTCCTAATATTTTGTGATTTCATATTAAACTTAAAATTTTGTCTCTGATGGGTGTCATTCTGTATGTACCTACCTATCAGTAGGTATAAGTCCAAGCCCTAGCAATGAATTATGTATTTTAACAGTAATGGTATGGCATGGCATGATAAGAGTGGCTTTGATATCCTGAAAGTAACCATTTCAGCCTATGGATAATTTTCAGAATGGTAGGAACAATGATGATAGTTTTCAGGTTTTCAGGCATTCAGAAAAGACGCTTACCTTCTTTTCACCAGTAAAATGCCTGTTTGAATATTCATGCACTAACCAACTTATTTTGCCTTTTTTCAGTAAACAAAGAATCTTACTTTTGACAGCGAAGAGTGTATTTCACTACAAGATGAAGAGATTCATTGGTAAGATGCATATGTATGTAAAATGGTCATCCTACCACATCAAATATGTGTATTATTTTATTTCACATTCTTTATTTCACCATCTTTTCTAATTTCTCCACCAGCCAATGCCTGTTGGCGAGCAAAAAAGACGCAAATCAAATGCACTTAAGTGAGACAGTGACACATCTATAGCAGTGAATATACATGCATTGTACGCGTATTGTGTATTGTATTGCACACGTTACACCCTGTGTATTGTAAGGCAGTTTTTTTCGATGATGCAACCAGGTGCAGGGTCCATCATTTAAAGTAACCATCCCACCTTAAATTAGTTTTGAGTTGAGATAGCCAAAATAGGGTCCCTGGCTTGCACTTCCTGGTTTGAGCACTCACAAGATTGAGAAATGACTCAAATCGAAAATATCTAATTTCAAAGTTGCAGCACTTGGATTCAGAGGGGCTATTGCATTAGAATGCTCCCTCTGAATGTGTGACATTAGCGCGGATCTAACGATTTTAAATCTTTTACTAAAACGTTTGGTAGCACGCAGTGGTAGGCATATGCTGCTTTGCATGCACTTTCAAATAAAGTCGCTAGGAACAGCGGTGATCCCAAAAAGCAAACAAAAGTAAAAGTCTAATTTGTTGAAAACCGGTGAACATTTTTCGATGAAATTTGGTAGATTCGTTTTCGCTCTTACTGAACCGAGCGACATCACTTTCATGCCAATTCATCAACTTTTTTGAAGGTGGGAGAGTCCCTTTAAGACCTGTTGGAAAACACAGAAGGGCAGCACTTCTTTAGTAAAAGGGTCATTCATTCATTAGTGAGGACTGTGAAGCACATAAATAAACCACCACCACAGATCATCTAGGCAGTCACTTAAAAAAAATCAGGCACAACCATATGTCTTTATACTTAGGAGACAAGTGTGAAGTTTACCAGTTCTATTGTGGATAAGTGGGTAGTAGGAGCTGAAGATCAACAGCTTTTGCTCTTTGTTATCTGTAAGAATCTTGCTCTTTGTAACAGCAGTATTTTCCCTTGCTCCTCAGATATTGGGGCCAATCTGACCGATGCTATGTACCAGGGCATCTACAATGGTTCAACAAAGCATCAGCCAGACCTGGCTAATGTTTTAGAGCGTGCATGGAATGTTGGACTGAAGAAAATCATCATAACAGCTGGCCGCCTTGAGGAGACACAAGAGGCTTTGAAGCTGGTGAAAACTGACGGTAAGTCTTCACAAGCATAAGCCAAATATTTTAGTATTCAACATTTTAGGAAGAAGTGGCAATCTCACTTTTTCGTTGTTGACATTTTCGTAATTTTGGGTGCATTTCTATAATACGATTTGTTCCATGAGTAGCTAAAAGGAAGTCGTTGCAGAAAATAAGAGGTAATTGACATGCTATTCCATCCTTCTGATGGAGCTGGCGCACCCTGAGAAGCTTCAGTCAGCTGATGCTAGTTGAGGCGTTGTCAATAGGCCTGTTACCTCCACGCAAGCTGCGGTGCAGGCCAGAACACTACAGCGGTATCTGTTAGCAGATGGCTAGGGTCCCCGGGGCAATGTTGGGCGGCATTCATCCTCCCTCAGGGCCGCTGCATCGAGTGCGAACTGCGATACGGTGGGCCCTTTACAAACTAACAAACTTTGTAAACGTTGCCACTTGCCCCTCCCTCCCCCACTTACCCCGAGGGGCTGAACCAGCCGACCGGCCACCAGCTCTGGGCACCTCTAGTTTTTCCCTAATGAAATGCAGTATGGAAAAATGTCTGTCTATTTAGTTACATCATTTTCTATCTCATTTTCACCGCGACCACGCATTTGTGTAAAATACTACTAATTACATCATGTGTAGTGGGCATAATTGCAGTATTATTTCATATTTCTGTTCGGATCGTCGAGAGTGTTGAATGTGCGATGACCGCTAGCTAGTCTATCCTGCATGTCGTTATGACCTTTTGGCCGTTTATGCACGCTGTGGCGGCGGCTCGATCGTAACACATCAGGGGGCTTTTTCTATTTTGGCACCTAATGTAACTCGGCTTATGGGCCCCGTGGGAATAATAACCAGTAGTACTATATTATAGTGACATTAAAAAAGCTTCGAAAATCTTAAAAAAGAAACTTAGATATTTTTTTCAGTCAGGCCGAAAATCAGATCATCAACGTTCAAATATTCCCGCGTTTGATGTTCTTGGACTTGTTTACTAATAGCTCGTGGTACAGCTCCAACCTTGTGTGACATGTGATGTATGAAAAGTGACCTACCGTTCGCGCGTGCCGTCGGGCTGACAGAAGGTTGACTTTCACCACCAGACTACAATCCGCCACGATATCCATCGCTGGATCTGGAAAAGATGTTCGTTGTACATTTTCATTTTATTGGACCAGATATGTTCGTATTAGATATTTTGTAATCTGATGTCTATGCCGCCAACATTTTTTTTTTGCATATTAAATATTTACCAAGTTAACACCTTTTGGGCCATTGCCTTGTAATTAGATCAATATGCCGATTGACTGTTTCCTTGAACCTGAAACTTTATGAACCGCGGTGCCGCGCCGCTTGGAGTATCTTTCTGTATAGTCGACTACAGAATGATGTGGAACCCCTCAGCTTCTGAACTCCTCAGAAGCTATCAGTTGACCGGAGCGCTAAGTTGTGCCGTTTATCACGCAATTAAGCGTGTCGATTGTGAGCATTGGGACAAAGCTATAATTTGTGAACTCAGCACGTATGATGCGGCACAGCCTACCACTTTAGGCAAATACGCAGTACGCACGCTCCAATCCGCGATAGCAGCGCAGCGCGTCACTCCCCCGCCCTCCTTCCCCCACAATCATACAATGACCGGTGACCTCACTTCCCTCGGCATTGGGACTCGCCCTACCTACTATGAACGTCAAACCCCTTGAGACCCCACTTTTTTGCGATAATTTTTAAATGCGTCAACTTTCGTTGACAATATTCTGGCAATGTATGTTTCAGAGCCTGCCGAAACTTTTATTACTAAGGTATTTTGACGCCAAACGATCATGGAAGGTACTTCTCATTCACTCGTAATGCTAAGGTCAATTCAGGCCCGGGCAGAGGCTTGCGCTCGGCCACACTCGAGCCCCGCCACCAGCGCCATTTGCTCTAAATGCCATCTACCAGCGCCCGCTACCGCTACCAGCTACCGCCCACCATCAAGCCTGAATGGAGCGAGAGACGCGAGTGACCGGTCCACAGTGGCCCTTTTTCAGAATTAGCACGCATTAATTCCATAGGCGTCGCCAGAGATTTTCGGTTGGGGGGGGCAAAATCAACTTTTGTGTTAAATCTTGCCTTCCTCCAGTCGTTACTCATTCATTTTACATATCATTCAACGCGCAGTGGTACGAGGAATACGATGGTGACAAGGTTTTCCTTGTAGCTATGAATTACCATTAAAAAAAAAGAAAATTCATTTTCTTTTTAAATTTTTGAACAAAAAACGACCGGTAGAATCACAATTGGCTGCGCTTGCCGACGCACTCTGGAGAGCCCCTGTGCAGACGCTCGTCGCTCATGATCCGCATGATCCGAATCACCTTGCTGAAACTTTCATTCACGCATGCATGCAGAGGTTCTACGTAAAATGCATAGTGCTTATCCCAGCCGCCGATTGAAGCTAAGTTGGGCTTTCGGCGGAGAGTGAATGTCGGAAGTGTGAATCGAAAGTAATTCATCTTTGCTCCAGTGAGAGGAGGTGTTTTGTTCACACGAGAGTGTAGTTTCTCGTTTTTCGTGTGCATGGAAGCGCTGCAAACGCGAAGAAAAGACGTTTAACGGAACCAAAATTTCGCACGGCATAGCGGCGAGGGATCCTTTAGCGATAGGCTTGGGACTTCCAGGCCATTTTAGGCCACTCAGGGTCAGTGTGGGCTCTCAGAAGCCTGCTGAGGATCCTGAAGATCGGCGCTGGTCACCCCAAATAGTTACGTGTATGTGGTGCTTTAGGGCTTTCCGAGCCCAGGGTGGGACCCTCAGAAGCCAGTGTGGGCGGCGCCGCGGGCGCTAAGAGACCAGGCCCAAGGTGAGCAGGGAGCCCTCAAATAGCAGTGTGAACCCTGGAGGTCTGTGTCGAATCCCTAAGGACCCTACATAGGGACATAAGAAACATGTGCTGGGACCCTCAGAGGCACACCTGAGTCGTGACCCCTAAACTGCAGGCTTGGGCTCAGCAAAATCTGTCCCCTCAAAAGCTCGGCTGAGCTATCAGAGGCCTAAGGTTCTCAGAAATATTTGAAAGTATCCTCAAAGATCCGTGTGGCCCTTCAGAGGTCTACGCATGTGTAAGGTCCTCAAAAATCCCTGTATGGGCCTTCAGAGAATATGAACACCAGTGGGACTCTCAGAGGCCGGTTTGGGCCCTCTGAAGGCTTCTTAGAGCTCAGTGGAGCTCCTTCGGAGCCTTTGTGAAAAGCAAGCAGTCATGAGCCCTGTGGCACTTGAACGGTAGGTAGGGGAGAGTGGGGTGGGTTGTATCAGTTTTTACTCCGAGACCCATAACCTCGTAACTATCCGTGATAAACTCATTATTTCCATACTATCTCCTTCCTTGATTCTTCTGCTTTTTCGTGCCAAGTAACTTTTCCGTTACCTCTACCAGTTTTTCTTCTACGGTCTGCCGAATAGAACAATGTTTTTGATACAACTTGCCCCATGGCTTGGGTGAGTTGTATCACATGGTGGGGTAATTTGTATCACTATTTCACGTTTCAGGGTGTGTGCTTTCTACTGGCTTTGAACATAACAACAACATTAAATGGGGTTAGTACAATGTGTATATGCTCAAAGGCTTTACTTTTATTAGGCCAAACTTAGGTCAATGCAATCCGAACGAAACATCGTAACGTCAAACGAACGAAACATCAACAGACTAGACGCAAAAGTGGCCCGTTAAGAGCAAAGAAGCCAACACTTTGTGCCGAAATGGAACGAGTATTGACTAGCTATCTACAAACGCGAGCCAGGGCTTAGCTTTCGCGATCAAAAGCAACATACCCATACATACATACATACATACATACATACATACATGTTACAACATACCCCACCCGGCTCTGATACAACATGTACCTCGCCGCCATCTTGGAAAAAACATCCTCGTGCTCAAAAACAGCGGACAGCTGGAGAAATCCATTTTCACTCACACAGCCTTAGAACCTACCTTAACCACCGCTACGGAGATCTTTCAAATTCGTGCACATCTAAATGCCCCAAACACACATTTTCTTGCAACCTATTTTTTTAGAATGACATTAAAAAAAAACATAAAATCGGCTCTCACCTCGAGACGCGTCCACCCAGCCACACGACAGAACAGGGAAAGATTGCGCCCGGAAAACCTCGTCGGCTGGTCGTGTCACGAGCGCCATCTATTGGATAAGTTTGGCACAATTCGCCCTGATACAACTTGGACATGATACAACTCTCCCCGCTCTCCCCTACTTGAGTCTGTCGCAGACATTTGACGAGAGTTGAGAAAGGCCCGAAGATTCAGTGTCACGCTTTGAACGCAAATTTTGTATCAGCACTTCAAAAGTTATGAAAATCAGCTATAAAATGTAATGAAGAACCAACGAGGAACATGAAATGAGTCACAGTATTGACACTTCCGAGTCTGGAGTCGGTGTCTTGACGATGTTGGCGACTGCGACTCCGACTCTGGCTTGAACGAGTCTGACCTCACAGGCATTCTCAGAAAGGTACCCCCATTTTTCCCGACTCCAAAATCTCATCGGATCTGTATCGATCTCAGGGGGTGCCCCGGTCCGAGGTTGGGGGGGCAAGCTGCCCCGCTTGCCCCCCCGTGGCGACGCTAATGATTAATTCCCACATTACCTGAAAGTGGTGCAAGACATCACCACGTGATCAAGGACGTATTCCCTGCCAATGCAAAGAGAAGAAAAGAAAAGAACTGCCCAAGGAGATTCGGCCCAACAGCGGCAGGCCGCTCGGCCCGAGATTTGGCGCACGTTCACACGGCTCGGCCTCGCCCGCCAGCCAGGCCGCTCCGAACGCTAGTGTGGCCACGGTATATAGAGAACTGTATGGCGAACCCGCCAGCCGACCGCGCTGCACTGACCGCCAGGACGCCCCAGGGCGTCACGTGACCGCATCTACAGCTGTTGCCAGCCACCGTTAGTCGGCCCCGGCCGGGCAGCAACTAAGGTCAGCGCGACGCGAACAATACAAAC